CTTTGTGTTCTCCATGTGTTTTGTTGGAAACGAGCTCACGTGAGGTGCTTGAGTCATTCATAGAATCATAGCATAGAATCCCAGACTGGCTTGGGTTGGAAAGGACCTTAAAGATCATCCAGTTCCAACCCCCCTGCATGGGCAGGGACACCTTCCATTACACCAGGTTGCTCCAAGCCCCATCCAACCTGGCCTTGAACACTTCAACTAAGATGTGAAGTTTCCCAGGACAGCATGACGTGGGGGTTTGGTGCCCAGGCTCCCCTGCCTAGCTCCTGGTGGGGTGTTTGGCTTCCAGCTCACAGGACATCTCTGAGACCCAGCCACTTTCCTTTGCAGATGTTCTGCAGCTCCCATTCCTTTTGCAGAAGTGATCCCACCACATGAGCTTGTCTGGTTCCAGCTGCCAGTAGCATCCAATGCCTGCCTTGACCCACAGACTGAACCCAGAATCCCAACTGATACAGGAAAGAAGGGTTCACTAGAAGTCTCTGTTTTCTGGGGCATCTTTCCACCCTCTCCCTAGCAGTGCTCTCTGCTGCTTGTATTTGCCTCATTCACTTTGAAGACTCACGGTAGTTCCTGTAGAGGACAGTTCAAACCTTCATCCATCACAGACATGCAGCTGCATCTGGATGAATTCTTTACAAATCCCTGAGCAGGTCCAGGCAATTCAAGCCCCTCCCTGATAGCTGAGTCTAGGTAAGGGGCTTAGCTTGTTCAAAGAGCCCTATCCAATTGGAAACCTGACCCAGACAGTAACTGAATCTTCTTATTCTTGCAGTAGCTGATTTTTCACTGCCCCTCATGATCTGGGATTTGGTTTTATGCTTCACCAGGAGGAAGCCATGGCTTTCTGCTCATCAGTAGCCCTGATACCATCGTGGAGCTTGTCTTACCAAGTGACCAAGGGAAGAGTTGAAATCTCAGAGGCAGATCTCTCCAGCACCCTGCTACTGCCTTCATGCCTTAGGCTGAAACATTGATCTGAACTAACCAGTTTAGTCTGGGTGGAGGATCTGGCTCAGAGCACATGGGGCTATAGATAGCTGCCCAGCTCCTGCAGCACTGGCAGTGATAAATGATCCCTGGGAGAGGAGGATATTTAGTCATCTCCTGAGGATGATTTAATGGACAGGAGTAACTACTGAGCCTCAAGACATCTGTCCACGTTGCATCATTCTGAAGATACCTCATATCTTTAATGTGTTGTAATGCACCAGTGGGTTTGGGTGGCTTCTTCTGTTGAAGAACATGTTCCCCTGACGTTGCTCTGTGCACAGAGGGGTGGGAACAGACACTGGGTCCCTGAGCCCTCACAACATAGCAGAGACCAAGACAGACCATCCAGGATTTCAGACGATCCCTGTGCTAAGCCACTTCTTTCCCTGACCTCTTCATATACCAGCAAGGTGGCCATGAAGAGACAATGTAGAAATGAAGTGTCACATTTCACAGTGAGAGAGCAGGAGGCTGTCATGGCCCAGCTTGGGCTGGAAAATGTTCCTTGTTTCCATGCCCAGGCTGTGATGCTCAACCACTCCAAGGAGCCCTGCTTTACTGAAGAGAGTCTTTCCCAAGGCTGTAGTTGATTTTTCCCAAGCAAGTTTCTGCTCTGTCCAAGCCTGCTGACAGCTCAATATTCAGCTGCACAGTATCATTTTCTGTCATTTTGATTTATGTTCTTCTCTGCAACCAGAGTCCCATGTGAAAAAAAAATGATCGGAAGGAGTTTATCTTAAAGTTAGCTCAATGCCAGTTTCTTCTTCGACTGACCTAGCAAATCCAATATATTTTTAAGAGTGTTTTTTTCGTATTTCTGGAATATGAAAAGGAAAAGTACTCGAAAGTAACCTCTGCTGTCACTTTTGAGTCCTGCTGTTGTGATGTCTGCCATTGTGCAATGCAAAGAGTCATTGCCATCAAGGGGAGCTGAGCTGAAGCTGTGAGTGCAAGATCTGGTCTGAAGTGTCCACCTGCACCTGGTGGCCCTGTCCAGGGAGACTCTGACACAGCCAGGCAACACCCAGGACATCAGGGCTGAGCTCCAGAGCACACCCTCTACTGAAGGGTATCTTAAAGCTCTCAGGAACAGGGAGTTTCCCCTGGGAAAAGCCCAGCTCCCCTAGGGGAGAGGCTGGCGCTGAGCCACGGTCTCCACTCACTTTGGGTGGCAGAAGAAGGGCTCATCCTCCAGCCTCCTGGCCTTACCCGGAGGTTTTGTGGCAGACCTCTCTCTTCTGCCTCCCTTCTGGCACCCAGACTTGGGCTCCTGAGTTGTTTGGCTGCATTTGGAGCGTTGCTTCTTAGCATCAGAGTTGGGGGATTATTGCTTGCAGGGTCCTTCCGACAGATGCTTAAAAGAGCAAAACTGAGCCAGGGAGGGGAGGAAAAACCCATGGCTTGGCTGCTTGTGTGCAGAGGGAGAGTTACAGAGTGTTCTGTGAGACAAAGGACGAGGCCACATGAAACAGCTCTTGGAGTGGCACTGACAGGAATAAAAAGCTCTTTGGCAGGGCCCTAGGAAAAGGCCAGAGAGCAGGGAAGTGTGTTTTATTCCAGTTCCCTGCTTTCCTGCAGAGTTCAGACAATGGTATGGATTGCCTTTTCCCCCACTTCGCAGCCATGAGCATATGGATAATCTAAGGCATATGACATGTCTTAAAAGTGTAACTCCAAAATGTGCTAGGGGCTGAAATGAAGTGCCCTTCCAGCCCAGGGGTAGGGAGAAGCTGTTGTGGGGACAGCAGTGTCGTGGGGCTGGTCCCCTTGCTAGGGGGAAGAGGGGTCCTGGCTGGAGCCAGGCCAGGGAGGAG